AAGGTTGTATAAGTCAGGAAAACATAAAGATGGAAGAGAGTTTCACAGGATTGAAGTGCGGGGAAAAAAACTAGATGAATAAAAGTTTTTAGAGCATGCAGGGACAGATACAGTAAACGAATGAGACTAAGCTGAATGACGAGTAAAACGTGAATGAAATTTAGTTGATGGAACTAGAGATGATAACTCCTTTGAGCAGTGACCATGATAGTATTTGTAGAAATGAGAAAGAGATGCAACTTTACGACGATGGGAAAGAGGTTCAAGCTTAGCAGATAGTCCAGACCCAACAACATTTACAATGCTTTTTTGGACCTTGTCAAGAAGAGAAAGTGAATCGTTAGAAGAACCAGCCCAATTACGACAACAATATTCCATACATAAGAGATTTGTAGAGGTAGAGAATGGAATCAGAAGTAAGGAAAGCACGATAAAGAGAAGCAACCTTAGCAGAAGCTAATTTAGCAATCGATTGTATATATGGTTTCCATGAAAGGTCAGTAGTAAGCGATAATCCAAGAAGACGTAAAGAGGAGGACTCAGTAAGAGGATTGCCATTCATTAATATATGAATGTTGGCCATATTACGGTAGTTGTTTGCAGTAAGTGACTGGGTTTTTTTAGAGTTGAAATTCACAAGCCACTGTGAACTCCAATCTATTACTGAAATGAGATCAGATTCAAGATCAGCTGCTTGATCTAGGCAATCAAAAAGAGAAAAGTTTTTGTCAAGACAGGAGTATAGTCATCAGCAAAAAGAGTAGAGTCATCAGCAAAAAGAGCTACTTTAGATGAAAGGTTGTCAGGAAAATTGTTTATGTAGATAAGAAACAAAACAAGGCCCAGGATGGAACCTTGGGGAACCCCAGAAGTTACTGGAAATAAAGAAGAGTGTTGGCCTTCAAGGATGATTTTAATAAACCGGTTAGAAAGAAATGATTTGATAATCTCAAAAACTTTCCCAGAAACACCATATGAAGCAAGCTTATGGAGAAGACCAGCATGCCAAACTTTGTCGAAAGCTTTAGATATGTTGAGAGAAATAGCCCTAGCCTCACAGCCTCCATCTAATGCACGATAAAATCTTTCAGTTACTGCAGTTAGCAAGTCGGCCGTAGAGCGAGAGGATCGAAAACCGTATTGATTGTCTGACAGTAGTTTATTTGACTCAAGATGAGATGTGAGGAATTTGTTGATCAAAGACTCGAAGACCTTGCTAACACTAGAAAGAAGACTGATCAGACGATAATTGGAGAGGTTAGAATTTTCTCCAGAGTTTTTGAATATTGGAAACACAGATACCATTTTCCAACAAGCAGGAAAACAAAACTCAGTCAATCACTTGTTAAATAGTTTAGGGAGAATTAAAGAAAGTTCTGGAGAACATTTCTGCAAGACTGTGACAGGAATGTTGTCTGGACCACAAGCTGTAGACGAGTTTAATTGAGATATGACGTTAGCAACAGAATCAGGAGTGATTTGAGTGTCTAAAAATGGGTCAACCAGTTTGACTGAAATGGAAGGAAGAGAATGGCCATAAAATTCAAGAGTGATATTAGAAGAAATGTTCTTTGCAAATAGTTCTGCGTTATCCTTGGGAGAGGTAATAAGATCAGTCCCATGAATGAGAGATGGAATGTTAGATCTACCCTTGTTAATAATGCTGTTGAAGATTTGCCAAATGTCTTTAGAGCCTAACTTCTGCGATAAGATGCGAGATTTAGTGAACTGAGAATAATGGAGTTTAGCATCAGAAAGCACCTTTTTACATCGATTTCTTGCAATAATAAATAGCCGTTTGTTCTCAAGAGAGTTGTTCTTTTGAAAAAGATGAAAAAAATGATCACGATTGGATATAGCAGCCGCACAAGACGGAGAAAACCATGGAGTAGAATGAGGCTTGACTTGAAACCGACGCGAAAGAATAAAAGATTCCATTCCAGCCTGAATCCAGAAGGTTACGTAGGAGGCACATTTGTTAGCTGAGAGAGAAAAAACATCAGCCCAAGGACCATCACGAAGAAAATAACGAAAGGAATCCCAGTCAGCTTTAGGGTAGTAGTAGGTGGTGCAATGTCAAGGTGAGCCCAAAAAAGTAGTTCGAGAAGAAAGATTTATAGAGATCGTTGCATGGTCAGAACCACCAATGGGAGGAAATTAAGGAACTGAACATAAGCTAGGGTCAGAGACAAAACATAAGTCAAGGAATGAAGGTAAATAATTAGGGTTGTCGGGAAAACGAGTCACAAAGTTAACTAGTTGAGTAAGAGATTGAGAAACGCAGAAGTTAAAGGCTTTAGTGCCAGCAGGATCAGTGGTGTAAGAGCCAAGCCATTCAGTGTGATGGGCATTAAAATCACCAACAACAAAAATATTAGCAGAGGTGTAAAGAGAGAGGGCATGGTCAATTTGATCAGAGATATTATCTAAAAGAGTGCAATCATGGGAAGAAGGAGAACGATAAAGAACAAAGAGAAAGGTGATAGAGTGAAGAGATGCTAGGCGAAAGCGCATAAAAGAATGGTCAAAGGATTCGACCTGATTTCACGACAAATAGGGGAATTAATGCGTATGTATACCCCTAAACCTAGCATGTGACTATTAGAGTCATTACGAATCAAAGGATATTACCCATCAACACTTACATCTGAAGAAGGAATTGCAGAATTTAAATTTGTTTCACTGAGTGCAAGCAAGTCTGGTAAATTTTGCAGGAGGTAAGACTCAACTGATGGAAAGTTGCTTCGTAGACTGCGAGTATTTGTAAAAGATATAATAAAATATCTAGGTGGTGGGGATGGTTTTTTAGGTTACAAATTTTTGGTTACTTTGGTCATGATTTGGGTTTAATGAGAACTTGACTCTTTCATAGATAGAGCACAGCCTCCTTATTAATGAGCTATGCAGTTGTTTCAGTCCTGATAATTAACCCTAAGCCGTGGCATAGGGTTCCCTATGTGGCCTTGATAATGCACACCAAAAGCATTAACAGGGACACCACCTATGCGCAACACGGCACTGTTAATACTCTGATATTTTGCAGCTATTAAAAGAATAATTATAATTTAACATTAAAAGTAATAATAACTATAATTTAACATTAAAAGCCGCATAAATGCATTAAAAAACAATCATCTTTTAATTTGAATAAATACAAATTGTCATCAAGTGTTCTAAAGCTTCCCACTATAGAGTTATAAACATAATTTTAGTTGAATTAGACGAAAATTTATCAGGATAAGTCGGAATTGTTCAGACTTAGCAGGATTAATAGGAAATAAAAAAGCTTTTAATTTTAGCCGGTTTTTTTGTGTTTTTTTTTTTTCAGGTATGAAAAGAAAGTTTAAATTATCAAACTTTAGAACCAGTTTTGGCAAGCTAATGAAATATATAATAAATGATGCACTTAATGTTTACAAATACTTTTCCGCGTTGGCAAAACAAGCAACTAATAAAATTGCAGTCTAAGTTAATCAATTGAAAGATTTGGATTTGATTTTAAGAGCTAAAATATTTAAGGACCAAACAAAAAAAAAAGTTTCTATTTCTAACGTATTTACAAAGTGCATTAACAAAGATTGTGTGGAGTGTAGTTCTTAAAAGTTTCTTTTTGTTTATTTTTGGATTTACAGGGAATAAGGAAGACACCTTAAATTTGTTATTATTTCTTTTCAGTTTTGTTGTTAAATTTCATTTAAACATGTAAATTTAAATTTTACTGAAAAAAATAAATAAAAATTAAAAAAATATATATTTTTTTACAAAGCAAAAAGTAAAAGCTCAAAAAAGGATGAAAATTTGAATAATCTTTTATCCTATATAATATATTAATTATACAAAGATTTAAAATAATAAACAGTAAAATAAGTAAACATATATATATATATATATATATATATATATATATATATATATATATATATATATATATATATAAAAGCAACCTAAAACAATTTAATTTTTTTGCTTGTTACGCTCTCGTAAATGGAGGTTTTTGAAACCATTAAAATATTATTTGAAGCAATAAAGAAAAAAAGATAGCTGCCCCATGCCAAACTCTCAGTTGATGTAGCAGCACATCCTTTTAGCAGTAGACTATATGATAGTCGATGTAGCAGCACTCTCTTGTAGCAGCAGGCTTTAATATAGTTAAGGAATGTAGTGCAGCCAAAAATATTCTCTTTTTATATTAAAAAGTCACCACTTTAAGCCTGACCCTACGCGAGATCATAACAAGCAAAAAAATAAAACTATTTTAGGCTGCAAAACTGCAGAATTACCGCATTTTAACAATCCATGTGATTCAAAGGGTTTGACAGTTGAATTTTTATATAATTTTCACAAGGCAGTTATTTAATGTATAAGTTAAAGTTGCATTTTTCTGTAAGTTTTTTTACACTAACAAATATTTTATGTATTAATATAAGAAGTGTTGTTTTCAAAAATTTATTTTTTCAGTTTAAAAAGTAATAGTTGAGCAAGCAAAATATACATCCGAGCTGATTGGATAGAAAATAATGTTGAAATCGTAGTATTCAATGGCGTTGAAACAACGACGTTAAACACTACGACGTTGTTTCAACGTCGTAGTATTCAACGTCGGTTTTCATTTCCAATTCAACCAAATTTCAACGTTGTTTCAACGTGGCATTTGGTTGGTTTACGACGTTGTTTCAACGTTACTTTAACGTCATTGTATCTTTTAAAAAAAGATATGAACAAAAGTGAATGTTTGTTGATATGAAAACTAAATACTTTTACTGAGACTACTTCTAATAAAACAATCATTTAGTTGAGTGTTAGATTTTACAAAATAAAAAAAAGTTAAAACTACAAATAATCATGTATTTACTTTTTTTTTTTTTTTTTGATTTGCAACACTTGTCAGAAAGCTAAAATATAGATCAACTAACAAAAAGCTGAGAATAATCTTGAAAAAAAAGGATTATTCCAAACAAGCAAATATTGATTTTTATAAACTCAATGCTTCTAATAAAGCCGTTAGTTTCGTTTTACTGAATAGTATCGTGTTTTGTAAAAAAAAAAAGATTATCATCGTAGACTTATAAACAACTCCTTTTTGGTCACAGATATTTACTTCGACATTTACTTTAGTTTATTGCACTAGATTAATCTTACTAAAGGTATTATTATTTTTTTTATAAAAAGTTGTTAGTTTCGTTTTATTAAATAGTTTTGTGTTTTGTAAAGAAAAAATGATCATCTTCGTTGACTAATAAACTACTCCTTTTTGTTCGCAGTTATTTTCTTCAATATTTACTTCGGTTTATTGCACTATATTATTAAGGTATTATTTTGTAACTATTGCATTTTTTTTATTTGTAATTTTTTTTCCGGAAAAAAACTTTTATTCCTACACTTTTTTATTCTCAAATAGTATAATTGCCTTTTTATGCATTGAAAGTTTTATGTTTTTATGTAGAATAATCTATAATATCATAAAAAATCTAAACCATAATAAATAATTGTAAAATATAGCCAAACTTCTTTATTTAATCGTTGGTGTCGCTTTTTTTGTGAACTAAAATAATTCCACATATATCTCTTCCAAATTTAACCAGTGAAACCAATTGTGTTTAACATGTTGCTTGTTTTAACATAGTTATTGTTTTGAGATTCGATTAAGGTTTTAAAACAGTATTGCACATGATTTTTGATAATAATTCTGTAATCATTCATGCTCTAAAAAGTTTTATGTATCAATTTAGGACTACTTGAGTAAACATTAAAAAAGAAAGGGTTACATGTTGTGGTAATGGAAATATGCTATTTTTCACGTTCACAAAAAGATTTTATGCACACTTAGTGTGTTAACAGCTTTTATAACGTTTTTATCAGTTTCTTATAAGTATATAAGTTTCTTACAAGTTTATACGTTTTTTATAAGTTTATAATTTTTTTATAAGTTTATAAGTTTCTTATAAGTTTATACTTTTTATAAGTTTATTCAATTTTAATCAGTTTCTCATTTAATAAACATTTAGAATAAGGCATGTATATAGCTGTGTTCGTGATAACATTTTGTATTGATCGGTACAAGTAATACTAATTCAGAATTTAAAAATTTATAAATAAAGGTGAGCCTTAAATATTGCAAATAACTATAATGAAATATTCAGCAATTATTTTACTTATTTATTGGCTTGAATCCGTTAAGTGACACATTCAATTATAAAAAAACTTAAATTAAAAACTGGTGTACCTTTAACCCCCCTACCCAAAAAAAAAAAAAAAAAAAAAAAATTTATATGTAATCTGGATTAATCTAGTAAGTACAGCCTCTAACAGAAGTCCATTAAAAACAACTGTAATAGTTATTTTAAAATAGTTATAATATTTATTTTTAAAAATCACTATAGCATAAAGAATAAGGCAGAAAAACCAGTGTCTTCATAATGAAAAAAATCAATGTTTTCATAACTAAAAAATTCAATGTCTTTAAAACTAAAAAAATCAAAGCCTTCATAATTACAATGATATTGTAAAAAAAAGAACATAATCCAAAACCTATACTCAAGAAACCACATATGGAAGTTGGTTTTGTTAAACATTATGACAACAAGTTAGGTTTTTACGAATACAAAATTGTTCTAATTATTTATCATTTTAACTGTTTATCATGTAACAAAAATGTAAAGAAATTACTCAAAGATATGAATTTAAAAATAAAAAGTAACAAGTTTTTAAAATTAAAAAAAATGAAAAGTCTTAAATAAATTAAAAAACTTTCCAATAAAAACAACATTTTAATCTATTTGGATATGTTCTTTCATCGTTAGTAGAAACGAAATATTATAAATATGTTACAATTCTTCCAAAGTTTGTGTTTTCACACGGAAGACAATTTTTTGTTAAAATAATAAAACATTTACTACAAATTTTCTTGCAACATTTGTGTTGCATAATTAATTGATTTATTTAGATTTATTAGAACAACTAGTACATATTAAAATATTAGTTGTAAAGTATTACCACCTGTGTGTCCTTTAGACACTTAGATGATAAACAAGTTTGTTAACTAACAAAGCGTTTTTAATAAATAATGTATCATCGTGTTGGTTTTAAAATACCGCAAATAATGATACAACATTTAACCGAGATCCGTGTTAAAAAAAATGTTATCAGAAAACATTTTTCTTGATTTCCCTCTAAGAATTACTTTATTTTTTCTAGATTAACTGGTTCTGAATTTAAAAAGTTCACAAGTTTTCCTCATGCAGTTTTAAAGAAATACACGATTTAATTTTTGATTATCGAGTGTGACAATTTTTATCGTGTAAGATAAAATCGTGATCTAAAAACTGTTCTTAGCAGTCGTACCTGCATAAATACTAAATTGTATACAAGTATATGAAAACTTTTTAATATATAACCAATAATACACTCATTTACATAGGTATATACAAGTGATTTGATTTTTATCGTGTAAGTCTAAAAGTTATCATGAAGTATCTTTTTAACAACTGATAATACAATTTTCGTTAAACTTTTTTAAACTTATTTTTATTAACTTCCAAACATAATGGTTGTTTATCTATATCAGAATCAGAATCACTTAAAATCATTTGATTGTAAGTATCATCGTTGTCTTAGGCGAATTTCGACTTTTTATTGCCGCATTCAATGCCTTGACATAAATCACAACCCGTCAGTTCTTCACTCTGACATGAGCATCGTTTTGTATTACAGCAAGTCGCGCATTTACAATAAAACATAATTTAATTAGCTAACAGGAGCAATTTCATTTGATAGCCATTTTATCTTCAATTCGTTGCCATCCATTGTCTAACTGTGTTCCTAAAAACTCATTATGTGTTGTACTGTTCATACTACATTGCATATTAAGACTGTGCTGTACTATGATTAGTGCAAGACATACTAATCATAGTGTGTGTTATAATAATCATAGTACGTTACATTTTAGTATGTGTTGTACTTGTGCATCTGAAGTTAAATACATTTTCTCTTACTATGATTGCCACTCTTGAAGAGGTAATATCTCACTCGTTAACTGGAGATACTTTGTTATTACCATAAAGGGGACACTCAAATTTTTTTATTATGAATAGAATATTCTCTATTGTTACTTAATGACAGAATAAGTAGTAAATAAATCTGATGCCATCAAATGATTTTCACCAAGCTCTGCTAACACGCTTTCATACTCAGTTTTTTTTTTTTTTTGTAAGACCTTAAGCACTAATGTTTTTCCTTTACCATAAAATGAACTTTTAATATCGCATTCTAAAAGAAAAACACATCCAATTATACAGCAACTTTAATGTTTGTATTACGTAAATGAAACTTACAAAAAAAAAAAAAAAGGTAAATCATGTTATAAAAGGTAGAAAAATTAAGTTAACCAATTAACCCTAAAAAGAATGAAAGTCAAAAACAGCATTAACAAAAGATATACCCAATTGATTAGCTACTTTTTAACATTAGTTATACGTTTGATGCTGCAAAACAAGAGTGAGCCATTATTCAAGTATTTGCTTCTTCATGGTCACTTTTAAAAGAGATTATTTCAGATACTACCACATTATTTGCTAGTAACATAAATTGATAAACTTATTTTCATTGGTTAAATAAACTCTCTAATTTGAGAAATAAAATATATTCATTTAACTTCAATGAGTAAACAAAAAATTTGTTAATTTTTCTTTATTTTTGCCAATTAGAAAGAACTTCTTCCTTTGACGAGGTATTTTGCTTTAGTTTATTTAATATACAAATAATCAAATTTCCATGAGTAATTCTTTTTATTCGCTCTAAATTTTAAATACTATGATTAAAATACCTGAAACAAAGTCTACACGTTGACACCCATAAAAAATGGACAGATTAATAATTTCTTTTAGTATATTTTTAGTTAATTCGCCAAACGCTTTGACTCTAACTTACAGTGTTTGTAACAGTGCCATCGCACCCACTAACAAACCTCCACTTTCATCAATTGAAAATACCAGCGAACCTTTAATACCTACTTCAAGAACTTTCAACAAATTAATTTTTGTTGTTTTTACTAAAGTTCCATCTACAGTGGGAAAAGGTGAGGGATGAGGTCGTAGAGGATACTTTAAAATTTTTTACGTGTTAATATCTCTCCTTTTTGACAGCATAATTAACTCTGCTTTTTTTCAGCAAGATTAACTTTGCTTTTTGCCAGCAAGATTAACAAACAAATTTGTGGTTTCTATATTTCCACCAATACCCCTTTTTTATATTAATTTTTTTATATTATTTTTATAGTATGCACTTTACTGCGCATGTTAAAAAATGTATGTAACATTTTATTTTAATTGGAGAAAATGTTTGGCTCTTTTCAAAGAATATTTTTGTTAATAAAACTCTTAGCTTTTTGTTAAGAATATCTCTTGAAGTATTTTCTGTGGCAACTTGCCCATTTGCTAACTGTAAAAGTTTCTTTCTGTCATCATCAAAAAGGTTTACCATTGTGCTGACAGTCTCCAGATTTGATCTAACATCATCTTCATCCTTATAAATTCTTGAATCATCCTAGCCTAGTCTACAACTAAAAATCATGTTAAACTAAGTTTCTGTATTTTTCTTTTCAGTCGTAAAAATCTGTATAATAAAGATTTTTTTACAAATAATACAATGTGGCTGCAAAACTGAAGAATGAGTTGAAATACTAACTGATGACAATCGAGAAGATTTTCTCTTATTTTCTATTTTAAAACGTTCCGATATATTATTCAATTTTTTTTTCGAGCTAATTCAATTTTAGACGTGTTTGTGAAATATTTGTAATATTTTAGATGGTATACTACCAAATGAGAGTTTTTATCAAAATTTTCAGGGCGATTTACAACTTTATGTGTTATACACGTAGCGTCTGAACTTTCGTCACTTATCAAAAGCCAATCATTTTGTGATAAAATAAGTTTTTCATAACTTAAATTAGTAAAATTTCTTAGTTATTCCACATATCAAAAAATATAAAAAGACATGAGAGTTTGCAAGACTCAGCCGCGGCCATATATATATTTTGTTTTGATTTGAATTTGACTGAGTATTAAGAAAACGAAAAATTTGCCGCATGCATTAATTTATAATAAGCTAGAGAAAAATTAAACAAAAATGAATCAAAGTTTTTTAAAAAGGCTGATTTGCTCAAAACCCGTTTTTGAGGAAACTAAAAAAACTCTTTATATCTTTTAATATTAAATATGCAATATTTGTGTAATAAATTTTTAAAAAAATTGTACAAGAGTAACATCTTAGTAAACTTTGATAACTGTTATAACATTTCGTTTGTTAATA